GCGGGTGACTCACGGTGTGCACAGCTTCTTCGTCAGGCTCGGTTGGGTTGGCTGGGGCACGGTCTCCCTGTGGGCGTGCTCTGCCGGCTCCCCGCTTCTCCGGGCTTTGCTCTCCCTCCCCGCCCGCACCTGCTCCCCGGGTTGTGCCTCTCCCGTAACCTGCCTTGTCTCCTCTCCCTGGCTCGGTCCCTCAGGTCCTCTCGTCCGTCCAACTCTGCCATCCTCACTCGTCCTCCACGCCTGCCTCTTTTCAGAGGTGCCCCAGAGGAGAGACAGTCTGTCCCCTGTCTGGCTGGGGGGAAGGAACAGTCACAAAACAGAGATGGAAATATGGCAGTGTCCTCTAGGCAGCTGGCATGAACAGACACACTGCAGGCCCTCTGACTGTCAGCTGCAATAAATGTTAGAGGGGAGACAATTGTAATGCCTCATACCTGGTGATGTAAATTCAAGGGAGTGAAGAACCACCATGACACGGATTTAAATCTCTTTTTAGGCAGTGGCTGTGGATTCTGGGACAGCTGCTTTCTCTTCACAGAGCTGGTAAGGTTGGGACAGGAAAATATTCTTCCCTGTGTCTGCTTTTCTTCCTTTGTGATTTTTGAAGGCTGTCTGAATTTAGGCCCGTACTTTCCTTCTAAACAAGTAGATTTCAGTGTTGGTGTGTGGTTTTTTTATGTGATGTCTTAGCTTCCTTCTTCGTGATGTCTCAGCCTTATTCTGCATGACTTGCTGTGGTGTTTGCAGGGGGAAGGAGTGGTGGGAATAAAGTAATAGAAGTGCCTTGAGGAAATGGAAGATCTTTAGTGCTAATAAACAGGAGAGAGAAGCAGGAATTAAGAACAGTAGGTGTTCAGTAGTGAGAGGCTGGATCTTAAAATCACCAAAGAAGGAACTACCAGCCTAGCAGGAGTGGGGCACTGCTGTGCTTTTGCTGAGATGTTGATCGGAATACTGTTGCTTGCTGGATAATCTGAATTCTAGAGTAGTTTTTCAGCAGCTACAGAGTCTGGAGTTGTGTGCTGGAAAGAAGCAGTCTCTGGAACAACTGTTTAGTTACGTATTTCTGGATGTGCATGCTCTGTGTGTGGCTTTCCCTGCGCAGAAACAAAGGTTGGATTCCTGCCCTGGAGAGTTCACAAAATAAAAGGGAAGGAAGGGTGTGATATAAGGTATGATATGTAATTAAAAATGTCAGGGTGGCGACCTGTTGTGTCATATTAATACAAAGTCATGTTAATTCTGTATTTAACAGATCAAAATTACAGGTACTTTCTTAATTCCTGTCTAGGATAACATTTTGATAATGTATCTTGGTAATCTCAGGGAGATGTCATTCATAATTACTTTCTCCAAAGAAGGATGAAGGGAATCTATGAGGAGAGCAGAGAGGAGGGTCGTATTTCTGGAGGAACCACACTGGTTAGGGAATGACAGAGTTAACATCAGGTAATGAGGTGAGGGAAGTACTGCACACCTGCACAGGACTGAAATGATTCTCCAGTTTTGTGTCTCTGCTCATATCATTTAGGTTTTTCTTCTTTGCTGTGCTTCTAGTTGTTTGCTTTCTTGCAAGATGGTATCTTTTGCAAATACCACTATTCTAAAGGACCTTGATAATCTTAAAGGATAGAGAATAATCAAAATATTTAACTTAGAAAATAAATGTCTCTTGCCTGAGGCGGCATGGTAGCAGGTTAAGGGATCTGTGTGAAATGAGCTGCCATTCTCAGTCCCATTCTTAGTGAATTGGTTTGTGTGTTGCAAAATCGCTTACCATGTTTGGTATTCAGGATGCTTTAACAAAGAAGTCAGAGAGTTCATCCCCCTCCCCAAGTGATAGTGCACTTGAGGTTGTAACTGGTTTGGACACGATTGGGATGATGTCTGTCTTCCTGGCTGTTAGTTGGAAACTTCTCACTAAAACATGAGAAGGAAAGAAAACTTTCAAAGGAGTATTGCAACTTTATTGCAACTTTATCTTTAGTGATAAAGATAAGGTGTATGTGGTCCTACACATCTTCTAGCTAAATCAGTCGTTATCCTAGTTGGTGATCTGGATCACACTGGTGATCCTAGATCCTATCCTAGCTGAAATGGATAGGACAGAGAGATTTTGCAATTGTCAAGTAGGATGAGGTGGACAAATAGCTTCATTGTATATAGTGAGTGCGACGTCCCAAATGTCCCTCAAGAGATGGAGAGGTGTTGCTGCTTCAGGTTTTTATTCTCAGCAACATAAAGACTATTTAAAACTTCTTCCTGTGCCTCCTTTCATCACACGGTTGAAATTTTAGATACATGAAGCTTACACCGGGTAGGTGTCTGGGAGCACTGGGGAAAAGTTCACTTGTCAGCTGTGTTACTGTTGACACCAGGGAGGGAAGAGGAGGATGTTGTCCTGCCATCTTTGTTTTGTCTCTGAGGAAGTCTCCACTTTTTTAAACTAAAGTGTAACAAGTTATAGTGGTAGCAGAACAATTGTTTCTGGCTTAAGGGAAAAAAAAAAACAAACCTTAGGAGAAATTAAAACACAGTTGTTTTATGAGATAGGAGAAAAGACAATAGCATATTTCTGTTAGTGTGACTATGAAAACTGTTGTCACTGCCCAGTCAGCGTGGGCCGTATTTATTGTCTGGGAGTGTCTGATGATTCAGAGATGAGAGAAAATGTCCATAAGCCAACAGCCCTTTTGTTCTGGAGAATAAATCTTCCTGATTCCCAGAAACAGGAAACATCAGGAGTTTGGTCTTGTTTTGTTACAGATGTTAATGGTCATTGTATTTTTTGCTTTTTTTTCCTCTGAGTTATCTGTGCCTGTAAATTTCTGCAGGAGCAAAACCTAAGTAGTCTTAACATGACATGCTAGGTAAGAGCTTTGCAAACAGTTCTGAGAGGTGTTTTGGGTGTTACTAGCCTCTTGAAAAAGTTGAATTCTGGAAAGGCAGAGCCCTGAAGGAGAAAAATCTTGAGTGCTGTGGGATACATTTTCCTTAAAAAGCCATATTCTGGAGGCTAATGAAGTGAGACCTGCTTAGATTCCTGCTAGGTGAATCAACGGGGTTTTTTGCTAATAATAGCGCTACAGGAGAGTGACCTGAATCAAGCCTTTGTTGTGCCTCACCAAGAGAATGGCAAACCCTGACAGCTAAAGCTTTACAAATCCATCAGAGGCTGTACCAAGGAAGAGCCATTCTTCAGGCTGTTGCTCGTTTGTCACTGGGAACAGTAGGATGAGACCAGCTTGAGAATCAAGCTTTCCCCTGCAGGGTTCCTGCAGGGCTGGCTCTGGAGGTGACAGAGAGAGCCTCAAATGGCACCACTTGTCACTGCTCAGGGTAGGAGTGTCGTATAAAGGATGTCATAATATCTGTCTTTAACTGACAGTAGTGTCTTTCAACTTTTCTTTGATTGGTATAACTCTGCATCTCTAACAGAAATGTTTTCTTTCAAACTCTATATAGGAAATGAAACTGGACAGTTGCAATTACCTTCCACAGACATCTTATAAATAGTTTGCAGACTTGCAGAAGTTCATGGACCAGAAGGTAAAAATAACTTCTGGAGAGTTTTGGGGAAACTGAGTTTCTGCAGTGTTCTGCAGAACTGCCATGGTCCTGTAACCTTGCCTGTTTGGGTGAAAGTGTTTGTCTATTGTACAGAAATTGACTCTCATGCAAGAGATATTTGGGGGTCCCTTAGACATTAATCAGAAACCTTTGGATTATATTTGCTTAGCAGTGTTTAATGTGGAATTGCCTTTACCCTAAACCTGATGGCCAGGGTGATTGCAGACCTGCCTTTTGGCATCCGTGGGTTTTCTTCCCCCTGTATTGGAAGCCAGGAGAACTTTGCTGTGCAGTGAGAGTGGATACCTTGCTAGTTTGTATCCTGGCCTTTTCTTCCTTCCTCATTCAATGCAGATTAAAAAAAACCCACCTGTTGTTCCAGTGCTTGATCTGTTGTAACCCTCCAGTGTGAGATGGGAGGAGCATGCAGTATTTCCATGCATATATATATTATACAGTATCCTGGCCTGTATCAGGAATAGTGTGGCCAGCAGGAGTAGGGAAGTGATTGTGCCCCTGTACCAGGCACTGGAGAGGCTGCACCTCGAGGACTGTGTCCGGTTTTGGGCCCCTCACTACAGGAAAGACATTGAGGTGCTGGAGCAATGCAGCTGGTGAAGGGTCTAGAGCACAAGTCTTATGAGGAGCGGCTGAGGGAGCTGGGGTTGTTTAGCCTGGAGAAAAGGAGGCTCAGGGCAGACCTTATTGCTTTCTACCACTACCTGAAAGGAGGTTGTAGCGAGGTGAGTCTTGATCTCTTCTTGGAAGTAACAAGTGATAGCACAAGAGCAAATGGCCTCAAAGGGAGAGGGGGAGGTTTAGATTGGATATTAGGAAAAATCTCTTCATGGAAAGGGTGGTTAAGCATTGGAACAGGCTGCCCAGGGAAGTGGTGGAGTCACCATCCCTGGAGGTATTTAAAAGACATGTAGATGAGGTGCTTAGGGACATGGTTTAGAGGTGAACTTGGCAGTGTTAGGTTAATGATTAGACTCAATGGTCTTAAAGATCTTTTCCAACTGAAACGATTCTATGACATGTTGAACTACAATCAGGAAGTCCATCTGTCCAGTGCATTAGCAGTAGGAAACAGGATTTTGCTTCTTCACGTCCTTATTTTCAAAATGGAGATGAAATGGATGTGCAACTGGATGTCACTTAATCTGTTCCTTTTGTATAAACTGGAAATGGCTCAGCACCTTCAGCTCCCGTGAGGCACTCTCTGTCATTACAGCAGGCAGACTTACGGGACACCAGTCAGTGCAGGGAGCTGTGGCCTGGAGGTGACATTTCTGCACAGAATTACATTTCCAATGTGGCCAGGAGCCTAAGGTAGGAGATGCAGATTTGCAGTTTACTTTTCTCTGTTACCTGTTGCTCTAAGAGTGCCCTGGGCAGTTGGGTGGAGGCACTTTGCCCCATCGCACTCCTGCGGTCAGTGTGTGATCCCAGTTGGTGACTGGGCAGCGCTGGAGTCAAGTGATGCCTGTGCAGCCAGTGACCTAACGCTGCCAGCAGCCTGCCATCCTGCCTGCCAGCCTCTGCAAGGCTCTCACAGCTCTCACCTTTGCTGTTTCCAGTGATACCGAGAAAGCCAGTCAGAGAAACCCTTTAAGACTTGTTTTGGAGTTTTAGAAAGCAGGTATTCTGTATTGCAGCACTGGACACACACGGAGATCACTCCCCCAAGGTCTGTATGTGTGTGCCTTTGTTTTAGCACACATTATGTTGACCTAATAGATGCATATTCATTGCTGTTTAGGATATGTAAATGTCCTTCATGCTTGCACAGTCAAATGAGTCGGTGATCTTCAGTAGGCTTTAGCACAATGTCCACTGATTGATTTCCTCTTCAACCTTGCTCAGTTGAAGGCACCTCACTCATGTTTAGGACAGTATTCCTGGAAGAATGTTCAGTCATTAACTCTTATCTATATGTGCTTTCCTGAGCTTAGACACCCATGACAACATTGTGGGAGAACATCTGCAAAGGTCCTAAGGCCATCATGTTCTCAGGGGCTGAGAAGAGCAGATGTAAGTGTAATGATGTAAGCAAGCGAATACATGCAAACAGCTTGGTGATAAGCACCACTCCAAGGTTATTAGCAATTTGTGAGGACGGATGTGTTACAACAGCTGGGTGATGTCTTAATCTTCTAAGTTTTTTAACTAAGCAAGTAACTAAGGGATCTATAAGTCTTTTAATTTCTCAGGGTTTACTCTTTCATTCTTTCCCCAGGTCTCACATCCCCCATTCTAGGCCTGCTGTAGGCTTTTATTTTATTTCTCATGCACTTACTCTGCTACGAGAAAGTGGGCTGAGGGCAGTTAAAGTCCCTCAACTTTTCATTTTAAGTCGTGTGGTAAAAAGCAAGCATGAAGGCTAACTCAGCACCTCCCTCCTGCATTTGTAGTGTGTTGCTCAAACACCCAAAGCAGTGTGAGGCTGGTCATGGTTTGACCCAGGTTCACCAATACCATGTTGGCTCCTTAACCAGGAGTTGGTGTGTGAGATTCTGCATTGCTTAAAAAGCCAGGGCATCAGGGTGCAAGGGGCAGAAATTATCTGCACCTTGTCGACCCCTTGGTCAGGTGTGTGGCTGTGCTTTGTCCACTTACATACTTGTTTGTGAAGCTGGAGTTTTCTTCTGACTGTAGAAGTTCAAAGCAAATATTGACTCGTGGGACTAAGGGCATTTGCAGCTCCAGGATATGCCTTTGCCTGACCTGAGGGAGAAACTGATGGGGGAAGGTGAAGGGCTTCC